AAATTTTAGAGGACCATGCGTTTGATAGTGACTTTGGTTATGGGGAGTTAAGAGCGGAGCTGTTGTCTCAGTTCAAATCGGCAGACTCTGACTATGAGGTCATAAAGGAAATCATGGAACGAAAGCAAGGTCCACAAGAAACCTTCAAAGAATTCTATGCCGAAGTCCATGATCTCACGTTCCGCTTGAAGAAAAAAGATCCCTGAAGATGAACTGGTTAAAATAATTAAAGGTAATTTGAAGCCATATTTAGCCAATTTAACCTTTGCTGCCAAGATTAACACAATCGCAGAATTAAAGAGTGAGTGCAAGCGGGCAGAAAAGCTTATTAAGGAAAATCGATCGAGGAACAAGAATGTAAGCGAGATAGATGGACATGATAGCAGGTGGAGTTTAGAAAGGGAAACTCCACTGAACTTAGAAGTAGAGGCTCTGAATAGGGAAGCCAGGAGTAAACCAGGAGTAGGCAGATCTAATCCTAGCGCGCCCAATAAGTGTGAATCGTCTAAACCCAACCCCGCTTCTTTCACGCCTAACCCTTATGTTTGTAATGTGTCACCGACTAGTGGTAACGTTTCAACCCAAATGTTTTGTCCCTCACCATTTCACCTCATGTTATGCTTTGTGTGCGGAATGCCGGTGGATTATTATGTAAAGAACCCGGCAGAAGCCGCGAAGGATACTAAGTGTAAGTCCTCATTCCACTGTATGAAATGTTTTGCTTGTGGTGGTGAATCGTCCTTTTGTGTTTTTAGATCGGAGGCGGGAAACCAAGCGCTGGCAGAGATGACCGGGTGCTCTGCCCAGCCTCAGAAATACCCGGAGGCATAAATAAGGAAAATACGGGGATAATAAAGATTTTACGGCGTAAAGAAGTGCCAGGTGGTAATGAAGGTTGTAGAACCGATAGGAAGGGTGAGTCAGTAAAGGAGAGAAAAAGTCTGCACGCTAGAAAAATGGAGTATGACGAAACGAGAAAAAGGATTTTTATGGAAGAATTACAACAAAAACATAAAAGTAAAAATTATGAAAAGATCAAGAAGATGCGGGAAAAAAATCGCACCATGAGAAGAATCCGTCAAAAAATCATCGCCACTATAGTGACTCTAAAAGACGACAATAGGTTCTTTGCGCGTACTAACATAGGCGGACATGCAGTTTTGGCCTTGTTAGATTCGGGAGCCTGTGCCAGCTGCCTTGGAAAGGGGGCAACGAAGTTCCTCGAAGGAAAAGAGAGCAAGATAACACGTCTGTCGGGACAGAATATACGTACCGCGAACGGAGGCGAAACTCCTGTGGTAGGCGTTATTACTTTGCCTATAGAGTGGGATGGAGTCACAAAAGAATTAGAATTCCTCATAGTACCAGCGTTGACACAAGAAGTATATTTAGGCATAGATTTTTGGCGTGTGTTTGAAATGAGTGTGGTCAGTAGAGGTGTGGGTGAGCGAATGTGTGGTTCGGCTGTCTCAGAGCTCGTACCTGCTGAAGCTGACCTCTCATTTGATGCAGTGCAGCACTCTCTGTCGGCGGCGCAAAATACAGTCCTAGAAAAGGTAAAGGCAAAATTCCCTTCTTTTGCAGTGCTAGGGCTAGGG